GTGAGGCTGGCTCAGCTCAATCAACACAATTTACTGGACCTCTACCACCGACAAACTCAAGCCACATTAAGGCTAGGCACAAGACATGAACCCAGCCAGAGAAGAGATGCCCCCCCCGTGTGTGCAACATGTCCCCCCAGCCGGACCACAGAAATGATCGGCTTCTCCCCACTTGTTGTTGTTCAGTCGTTCAGTCGTGTCCGACTCTTCGTGACCCCATGAACCATATCGCGCCAGGCCTCCCCACTAGCCTGGCTAGTTCTTCCAGCTCTGTGTTTCACCACGGCTTCGCAGCAGTGCCATCCATCCATCCATCCATCCATCCATCCATCCATCCATCCATCCATCCATCCATCCATCCATCCATCCAATGTATATGCCGCCCGCCTCCCCCAGAGGGCGACTGTCCTGGTTTCACTGCACTCCACGGCCACCTCTGATTCTGAACGTGGTCCCCGGGTAGGCGGGGCTGGCACTTTTTCACGGCTTGAAGAACTCGGATTGCCAGGCATCTCCACATGCAGCGAAACGAACGAAGCGCAGCATCCGATCTCAGAAGCCCTCCCGGCACCTTCCCCGGGGCTCTCGGGAGTACAGAGGCTGGTCTGCTGCCAGGTCCCCACTGGGGGCCACAACCTGGCTGGGCGTGTGACCAGCGGGCTTTCCCCTTCCCGTCAGATGCCCAGGCTGTGGCTCCCATGGCTCCATCGATCCAGTCCTCCTGAGAGCCACACCCAAGTTGGGCATGCAAGAGAGGTAACGTCTACTCTGCAATCTAAGGTTATTGGTTTCTAAAATGCCATTCTGTCGACGGAAGCGTCTCTCATTTCATGGTTGGGTGTGGTAAGGGTGGAAACGGGCGAGGCAAAAAAGCCCTTCTCTGGACGAGGGACGCCTGGCAGAAACCTTCAGGGCCAAGAAATGAAAAGGCGGGCCCCTGAAGCCCGGATCCAGCCTGTGGGCCAGAACGAGCAGCGGGCTCCAGGGTGAGGGGACTGGAAACCAAGTTCTAGGAGGGATGAGTAAAGGAGCTGGGCATGCTTAGAAAAGGCTGGGGGGAGGCAGGCTCACCGGAATCCGCTTAGATTCACTCCGGTAATCAAGGAGTCACAGAAGTCGATCAAGCCATCAATAAACAAACGTCCAAAGGGGTTTCATAAGAAAGGGGAGAGGAATGCCTCTGCCACCCCACAGGATAGGAGGAGAATCGGATCAGATCTTAGGAGCTGTCAACAGGCTGCCTCTTGAAGGAACATGGTCCCCTCCAGAGGACTTCAAAGCGAGTCTGGGTAGTTGATCCTGCACCGAGCGGGGGGGCTGGACTACGTGACCTCTGATGCGCTGTCCAGCACTGACCCTGTGACAAGACACTCAGCCCTCCTGCCTGTCCCCAAGTGCCAGCTGGGCTTGCGAATCAGTGCCATAAGTGCGCCAGCCACGCGGCTGCTGGTGGAAAGGAGGACCGCAAGGGCGGGCCCCTGGGCTGCGCAGAAACCGCCTCCACGCTTCACTAAGCCTGCAGAAACAGCCCAGCCCAAGTGAATCTCTCTGAATCTCCACCAGCGGCTATTAACGAAGTGCCCGAGATGGAAGCCGACCCCCCACGCTCTTCATCAGGTATCGACGCAAAGGAGGACTCAGTAAGGGCCCCCAGCCCACTGCTCTCACCCCCCAGTTGCATCGGGTTCCCTTCTCTGCCCCTTTTCCAGCTTTAGAACTAGACTTTCTGAGGCACAGAGACAAAGCATAGCGGCCCCACGGACTCCCCCAGGAGGGCCGCCATCTTGGCGTTTTCTTCTGTAGCTCTCTTCCTAAGCCCGGGGTCTGCCGCCCTCTTCCTGCTCGCCATGGCAGTTGCGCTCCGGGTGGCCGTTTCATTGGGCGGCCCTCTCGGATGCCCAATCCTAGAACACATCCACCTCTTTTAGTGTTAGGAGGTATTAACGTTCAGTTGGAATCTTCCTTCTTGTAACATAAATCTATTACAGTGACCACACAGAACTGGCCTTGACCTTCGCTGTGACTCCCTTTCAGATACTTAATAAGGGCTCTCTGTTTTCCTGCTCCCCATGCTAAATGTTCAATCTCTCTTCGCAGATCATTCTCATTGCCCTTCTCTGCACCTGCTCCACTTTGTTCCCTTCCACTTCCCCCCACTACAGGCCTGTGCAGCTGATAGCTGTTTCCTTAAGCACATAATTTTGCATTTCGTTCTGAATCCCATAAAATTTTAACTTGGCCACCTCAGTGTTCATCTCTAATTCCAGATCATTTATGAACACATTATGAAGTACTGATCCCAACCCAGAT